TTATCGTGCATAGGATTGGCGTTTTCCATATTGAATGATACCCCAAAATGACAATTTTTACTATATATTTCAGGAGATTTGTATGAGTTTTCTAAAGATTTTAATAATTTCTGGATATTTTCAGGACTTTTTCGTATATTTTGCAATTTCAGGAGATTACCGGGAGCTCCTGGTAAATCGGCAATAGGCCGCGAGAAATCTGTTATAAGTTTTATATGGTTTAATTTAATAATTTATACACCTAGAATTAGCGTGGGTCCAATGAAAGTGCTAGGCCCACTGCGGTCGCATAGGTTGCAGTGGCCTAAGGCGCGTATGTTTAATGTTTCTCTTGTTTTATAATGTAAAAATAGAGCTTTTTAAAAACCGTACTTTATAGAAGTGTTTCTTAAACTTTACAAATGATGCTCCCACGCTCAGAGGCTGGGGATTAGCTGTAGCCTAGGCTTCCATATTGGGTTGATGGATGGTTTTAGATTTCCCGTTGTTGTTTTTTTGTTTTTTTCGTATGTTTGGAGTCTTTCGTGGATAATTCGTAAGTATTTTGTTTTCTAAGGCTATTTTTTTTTAAATCCTCTACGCTATAATAATATTGTTGCTGAATTTTCTGAGCTTCAGACCCAGGTTGACAGTGCCCGTGCGGAAAAGATTTCTCTATTGGTGACATTATCTCAGTTTATGATTTTAACTACATTGAAGCACTGGCAGAAGAAGCAGTCCTTCAAAACAGTACCAAAGAACTGTCATGAAAAAGATATCTGGAAAATATGCCTATTCAGAGAGACCTGCATCCAACATAATAAGACAGGCCCTAACCTGGCACCCCCCCCCCCCCCCCCCCCCCCAAGGAAAGAGGAAGAGGGGACGGCCCAGGAATACATGGCGCCGCGATTTGGAAGCAGATGGGCAAGACGTGGGGACAGTTGATGAGACTCGCCCAGAACCTAAACGCCTGAAGTAATCTAGTTGGTGGTCTATGCCCCAGAAGAGACCACAGGCAGAGATATGAGATTATGATAGGTTACAAATGACTAAGTCTTAAATTTTCATAAAACGAAAAGCGCTTTCAAAATACTCCCCCCCCCCCCCCCCCCCCCCCCCCCCCCCCCAAAAAAAAAATGTTCTTCGTGTTTAAAATATTTCATTGTTGACTAAAGTACGTACCCACTAGCAACAGGGAACTTTTGCTAGTTTGTGTAAAAACACCTTTGTGAAAACTCGCTTTGTTATCTTTGTTTTCATTGTATTCTTACCAATGCAGTAGTTTCGGATAAATGTTCACCTTAACCAGGAAGAGGGGACGGCCCATAAATACATGGCGCCGCAATTTGGAAGCAGATTGGCAAGACGTGCAGATAGTAGTTAGCATTTTCTAAATAGAAACTAACTAGTAGTTAGCATTTTCTAAATAGAAACTAACTCATTTTATTTCTCTAGTTTTGTGTACTACTTGAGTATCTTGTGTTGACACGATCAAGCAATTTGTTTCTGTCACCAGGTTATTTAGGATGGTCGTTGGGTGACATTGGGTTCATATTATAATGCTATATATTGTAGGCATTATCAGGATGAATACTTGCACGTTCATATCTCTCTCGTAAATGAGAAAATAACTCCTTATATGGCAGACACAAATAATATGTACAATAATAACACCACATAGGAAATATGATACACGATCAAGAATAATCAGTAATTATTCTTTATAGAAATACTTGACTACTGGTACAAATCTCAACTGTTTTATAATAACTTAATAGAGACTGCTTAAAATAACTTTCTCTAAGTGACTACCTTCAATGACTGTCCCTTACTGACTGCTCTTACTGACTGCTATCAAGTCCGCTTAGATCAAGGTTAAAAGTGCTCACCTTGTGATGAGTTGTGAATTACGCTCATAATATCAAAATAGGGTATCTGCTGTATGGCATCAACTTTGAGGTGGTGACAGTTTTTTTTTTTTTTTTTTTTGCTCTTTCAAACAGCTGAACTACTTGAAAGATTTTATTTAAAAAAGCAAGCAAACTTTAGCATTTGAACTACTGAGCCCTTCATTCTAAACTAGTCGTACCCGTAATTGTGTAATCTGGTGAAAGAAGCTTATCGCGCCTCAAACTAATGAAGAATTACCTGAGGTCAACAGTTCTCAAAGATAAATTGAAACATTTGGTAATTCTTGCTATTAAGCGTGAAACAGAATTATTATCAATTAGCCTACTGTATGACTTCGCTACACGCAAGGCTCGTAAAGTAATTCTATACGTAGTAAAGAATGAATAAAATGCATAGACGAATTTATTTTCTAATACAATCTCTTACATTTCACTTATTATCCGCTTCCCTAACCAAACTTGGTCCCGCGAAATCCGCTTCACATAGGACCCCACAACGGTTAAGTTCGGCGCTGCTATTTACATATATATATATATACATAGTAGATTACTTAATCTCTCTCCATGACTTTTTAGTCGCAATGCTTAAGTCCGGCGCTGCTATTTAGTGTTTATAAAATGTTTGCTTGTAAAATGTTTTACAATGTTTCTGATGTTCCTTCAGCGTTGAAGATAGTTTACTTCCTAGTCCAAACCTTCCTCAGGACAAAGGGGGATGGGAGCGGGCAGGGTTTGATAAATTTAAACGACAGTCCAGCGCACAGGCAGCCATCCGTAGTGTGAACACTACTCTTGTGTTTTTGTGGGGTGACCATCCTAAAAAATAAGAGCGTGATCTTTTCTTTACTTCTTCTTCTCGTTTAAACTGTTGTGGGAAGAAGAGAGTTGTATATAGATAATTCTAAATGTGTTTCTTTCAGTTATATATTACTCAGAATTTTTAAAAATGTTAATTTAGTCTTTCAATTGTTTCACGGTTGTTTTGTTGCACTGAATTCATTTGTGTTGCACAATAGAAATTTTGTTCGATAATTATAAAATAGGCCTACGATTGTATTAAAGGTTTTCCAATGTTTGTGTTGAAATTTACCATTATTTTTTAAAAAATCAATTTCAGATTATCGCCTTTACGTAAAGCTCTAAGATACTATCCAGATGTTCGTTATATGTTAACTCAGTCCAGCAAATGTGCTGTTTGTAGCCATGCATTTCTAAACACTTGGTTGGAATGTGTCAAATTCATTGATGCCAAAAAGGTGAAATTACACGTTTTTCAAAACAGAAACAAAAAAGTTGGATATTTTCAAAATTATTTTTATGTGTTTGATAAAAAAGTGTTAATAGTAATTTCATTGTCCTTGAGTCTGAAGATTACGAAATATTATTGTAATTCCCGCGTAGACCTGATGTGACCTACATGTTTCTTATGTCAGACGAAGTTCTACTTTACGCCTATTTAACTCATGTCGGAGCTAGTCTTCAAGTGAGCGCCTTTTTAATGCTGTATTTCTTTAAACTCGCGGAAGACATAAGCTCTGAGCTGGTCTTCCAGTGGGCACTTCTCTGATGGTAAGGTCTATCTGCCTTTATACTCGCGGAAAACGTAGCCTACGCTCTGAGCTGGTCTTCCAGTGTCGCTTTCTAATGCTGCCTTCCTTTAAACTCGCTAAAAACAGTTTTTGCATACTGTCTTCCCAACTCAGCGCAACTGTTGAACAGTAATCATGACCTCTAATCTGTCCACATTAGCTGCACAGACATCTTTTTGTCCTAATACTGATGAAACATCGCTTACATAAGGACGCCCACCTTAAGTTCTGCTTCGACAGTAATGTCTTCAACTTATGGTACCTGAAATTAACTTTATTTCATTATAAACAAATTCTTTGACAATGTTGCACTATTTTTTGGACCAACTCTTTTAATAATACTCTTGTGCCAGAATCTAATCTGTCCACATTAGCTGCACAGACATCTTTTTGTCCTAATAATGATGAAACATCGCTTACGTAAGGACGCCCACCTTAAGTTCTGCTTCGACGGTAATGTCTTCAACTTAGGGCACCTGAAATTAACTTTATTTCATTATAAGCAAATTCTTTGACAATGTTGCACTATTTTTGGACCAACTCTTTTAATAATACTCTTGTGCCAGAAATCTCGCTATGGTACATAATTCATACTTATGTCAATTTTTTAAAATTAAAATTGTATGGACATTCTACAATTATAGTTATTTAAATGCCTGATACTACTTTGATAGTCACATAAATAATTGTCAATCATTTGTAAACTGTAATGTAACCCTATACGTGTACAGCTCATAGTGATCAATTATTTAGCTACTCTATGCTGCCCCGTCTCAAGACGAAACCAAAGCCATTGACTCACCTGGGCGCATCTATTGTCTTCCGAGACATAAGGAGTCATACATATGCTAATGTTAGTTAGCTAGAGTAAATATAAAGGGAGTTACTAAGTACAACTAATTGTATTTTTCTATTTATTCACAGGACCTGAAACTAGGATCTTGCTCCGGTTCTATTCCTGTAAGGGCATTGTTATGCTCCTACAAATGTTTCAATGCTGCTGGCCATGGTTTCTTTGGAGTCGCTTTTCCTTAAATGCTTGTAGACATGTATTACGTTTAAGGCTATAGAAATCTCTAGACTGGACACAATTTGTTAACTCTAAAAATTATTGTAATAGTTGTGTTGAGTGTATTATGACTTTCACATCTGTGTACATTTCCTTTGGCAAAATTAAATTGTGCAGCTTGGGTCCGATACATGCATGAATGTGATGTGCAGCTTGAGTGGAATACATGCATGAATGTGATGTGCAGCTTGGGTCGAATACATGCATGAATGTGATGTGCAGCTTGGGTCGAATACATGCATGAATGTGATGTGCAGCGTGGGTCGATACATGCATGAATGTGATGTGCAGCTTGGGTTGAATACATGCATGAATGTGATGTGCAGCTTATGTCGAATACATGCATGAATGTGATGTGCAGCTTGGGTCGAATACATGCATGAATGTGATGTGCAGCTTGGGTCGATACATGCATGAATGTGATATGCAGCTTGGGTTGAATACATGCATGAATGTGATGTGCAGCTTGGGTCGACACATGCATGAATGTGATGATGTTAAGATGGAGGACGTCAGAGAGCATAAAAATCAATGCTGGTCGCCATTATTAAATGGGTATTTCAATTTTATAAAGTTGTATGTACTTTTATTTTGAAATGTACGAGTTATTTGATCTATTTTGATGTATATATAATAATCGATTATTATGTCAGACGTATTTTGTAGAGTTTGTTTGATCTCCACGATTAACCATCTGGCATACGCGGATTCGAAGGTACCTGCAAATCTATCCAACACACCACTGAGACATAATGAAGAAACTCAGTACCGGTACTGAATAATTGTCTTCAGTTGAATACTTTCAAACTCAATTCAATAAAATGGACATTAAACTATTACGTTATTTGGAGCCTTGAGTTGTCAAGTTCTTTAGTTGGTGGTGTCGTGTTGTGCAGTTTGCAGAGAGCCCGGACAGTGAGATTCGTTACAATATATATATATATATATTATATACACAAGAATTGCTCATTTAAGAGCATATGATGGATCTCTGCTCATTTAATAAAAAAAAATTTGGGGCCTTCTGATTAGCAAGTCCAAAATCAGTGCATCTATTTCTTAACTTTTGTGTTTCACGCTCAGTGGAAGTGAAGCCAACTTGCTCTGTATTTTTTTTATCAATTGCAACTTCGAGGATCACCACTCTACTGAATAATCTGTCAGAAAATACGTGAATGAAGTAAATGAATGGTGTGACAATTATTAGAAAACTTAATAAAATATAGTTTTCTATGATAAAAAAAATAAAGCCAAATCTCGTATTGAACAGAGACTTAATGTCTTTTTTGTATGCTTCTTTGAAGGATTACATCTCTGATCAGTATTCTTTGGCAATACCATCAGAGTAAGATGACACTAGAAGCATGGTATGGCATCATATACCTCATTGTCGTTTGCACTTCAAGTGAGCACTAACGAACGAAACATGCTGGAAATTTTTTATGCCCATAAAATCTGTCATGTAATCGAGACACAATGACATCGATAGTTCGGTAAAATTTTGACTTCGAATGTCTCTGCATCTTGAATTCACTCATTCATCTTCACTGAAGTAAGCAATAGGCTCATCTAATTGTCTTTTAACATTCCAAGATCGAGTTACTCCAGAAGCCTAATTTTTACACTCTCAAAGAACTTTCTTTATTGGCTGTCCACTCATATTAGAAGCACCATCATATCCTTGCCCAAGCGTTTTATTGAATGACTATGGTAATTTTTCATTAATTAGTTTATTTGATCAGCCAATTCTGCATACTTCAGACCTAGTTCTAGATCGAAATATAAATTCAAGGTCTAGGTCTAGATGTAGTAACTGTAAGTCTACATCTAGAACTAGATGTAAGTCTAGAACTCTAGATCTAGAATTAGATCTAAGTCTACATCTAGATCTGAAATAGATATAGATAGAATCTACTAGTCTATATCTAGACTGGAACTCGTATGACTTTAGTCTTATTTAGACTGTCAAGTGTATAAGGCCCCTATCTCTAGCGGATCCAGAACTTTGGAGTGTGGGGGGGGGGGGGGGGGGGGTGGATTTTTTTTTCCTAACGCCCAGTAAACCCTAACCCTACGCATAAACGTGCGTACAACACACACACACACATATATATATCACACATATATATATATATATATATACGAATTTTTAAAAAGCAGCATTTCTCAACCTTCGGCGAAAAACAAAAAACTGGGGCAGCACTATAAGGTTCTCTTGTGGAGTTCATTGCAGAAACGCATTCTCCTGACAAGTACAGCTCATTATCCATCAATGGAGTTCGGGGCGAATATGAAAACATTGTTTGAGTTTAGAACTCATCTCAATCATGACTCTTATACTGAAAAAGTTCGTTTGAATTCTAACTTTTCCAATGCAAAGTCTTTCTTAAAATAATTATGATAAATTCATGTGAAATTACAAAAACTCTGTCTGGAAATGGGAATGGCGGTAGAGTGAAAACGATTAATCCTCGCTCCTTTAATAATTTCTGCTAAAGATTGCATTTTTCATTAAAGAACAGGGGTGGGGCGACTCGATATAAGAATTTAATTTATAGTATATATAAATTATATTAGTGACAGATGTTTTTAATTTTGTAATTTCTTGACTATAATACAAAAAGAAAAACTATTGATTTGTCCGATGGGGGAAATGCGATTGCATGTATCGCCCCTCCCACCTGGTACAACCCTTTTTCATTTAAATTTACTAATGATACAATTTGAGATTAGAGCGTGGTACGACATAATATAAAATGGGTCACATATCAATACGTAGTTTATATTATATAGATATTCAACTAATTTTATTCACAAACTTTGATTCTCCACAAAAATAGGACTGCCCCGCCCCCTAGCACTCAGAGGGCTAGAGTGGGGAGGGCAGTACATGCAATCGCCCCCCCCCCCCCCTCACCGGCCAAAATACCAGAAAGGAATCGACATAATATAAAATTTATATATTAATTCAACTAATTTTGTTCACAAACTATAATTTCTCCATAAAAACGGACCGCCCCCCCCCCCCCACTCAAAGGGTTTAGGTGGGAAGGGCAGTAGAGGTATTCGCCCCCCCCCCCCCCCACCAATCAGCAAACAGGGAATGACATAATAAAAAGATCGGTTAAAATATCAATAACAAGTATTAATGATATAGATATTTGATTTTGTTAGCAAGCTGTGATTTCTACAAATAAATTTGACCGCCCCCCCCCCCCACTCGAAAGTGTAAGGGGGGGCGGGATTGATACAATCGCCCCCTCCCGACCCCACCAAATCAGCCAACATACTAGAGGGCGGGGCGAAATAATCTAAAAATAGGTTGAAATATAAATAATTATTATATATTTTTAACATAAGTAATAAATTCGTATACAAATTGTGTGAATCCTATACTAAAGTTTGTCCGCCCCCCCCCCCCCCCGGCGATCGTCCCTACCGCCCCCCCCCCCCCGGATCGGCCAGTGGCCCCTATAATGAGGATATGTCAAAACTGCGCACTATAAAAGTAGTTCGTTATTTTGTAAACTTATAACTAAAACGAAGTTCGTGTCAAAATTCTTGTTAGAAAACAGTTTCATGAGTTAGTTAATAAATGGCAAATCTATTTTTTAATGATACTTTTTCCATTGTGACTTTAGATGCAATTTTTGTACCAATGCGCGAATCTATGAATGAAGCTTGATTTATTAATGAAGTCTGTGACCTTTTTAAAAGACTAACCTCACCTGAAGATTTTCATTGAAAAGTGGTGTATTTTTTTGAAAATCTGCTTGCATAGATTATTTTAAAAATTAGATGGTCCACTTTCAGAAAAGAAAAAAGTAGCCGTTGCATCAGAACTTTAAATGCTCTAAAATATCATGATGTCCGATTTTCATTTTTCTCTTCTAGTTTCTGAGATCTAAACAGGACGGATGGACAGACACGACACACAAAAAGTGTCTTTACCACTTTTGGGGCCCACTAAAAAAAATCATCCTTTGGGTCAGAATTTTTGTGATTTTACCATCAAAAAGAGAAACAAGACACATATAACAAAAATAGACACAAACACTCTTTTTTTCCCCTGGCAATCAAATCATTAACTAAAATTCAACTATCTCATATATACTTTTCACATGTAAATTATGAGTGAGTCTGGTGCGAATGTGTATTTTGGTTTTCTATAGTTATAATCTTTAGTTTGGTGTAAGCACACATTTCCTTATGGATAATAAAAAAAAATTTTTATTAGATACTATTTTAACTTTTAAAATATTACCTCTCACTACAAAATGTACCATTTGTTTACAGGACAAAATGACTTCAATTCTACAAACATGCTCTCTATAATAGGAAGTTGGAAAGAAAATCTTTTTAGAGGAAATGTAAATGAATGGCTCAAATAAAGCACTGTAGGGAATAACATCCTTTATTCATGATACTCCATTAAGCTCTGACTCAATATGAAAAAAAAAAAAAAAAAAGTAAACCAGTGGTAAGCAGATAAAAAAAAAAAATCAAAGACGAAGTGACATTTTTTCCTTTTTGAAATGGTTTATTTTCTGTTAATATTGCAGTTAACTACTTACAATAGCTAATTATCATTGTTTACAAAATTGGGATTTAATACAATAAATTGAATTCAACATAAATGACACTTAATTTTATTGAAGCATTATATCAGTAAACAAAGAACCATTTAAAAAACTAATATTGTTAACAAAAAAAAACAAAGATTTATCAGGAAAGTAAAGATTTGGCTGCCATAACTATCATTCTAATAGCTCTAATCTTTTTTGCATCTCCTCCATGAGCATCAGTTGCTTGTAACCGCTGCACAAGAGCACCAAGTACATTAGGAATATGTTCTGCTGTCATTGGTTGCTCTGGGTCAAGATTGATTACAGCATCCTCCAAATATCTGTGGAAATAAAATTGAAATAAGCATTTCTTAAAATATTTTGGTTAGAGATCCAGTGGCATCCAGTAACATTCATGAACTTTTCAAATAACTTTTACAATGGCATTTCACAGACACTAGATTATTATAAATATACGTCCTATCTAGATCTAAGTGGCTTAAATTTGCAGACTTTTCACAGCTATGTGTTAACTATCATCAGAAGATCTAGTTATAATGTTTTGTTTGGTGTAATGCACAAATTGTAAGACAAATTTCCTTACGGACAATAAAGATTATTATTATTAATATTATTATCTAGACTAAGTCACTATTTTTGAACTACCTACATTAGATTTAGCCTAGATATAGACACTATAGACACTAGATCAGGGGCGGATTGGCTCTATGGGCATTCGGGCAAATACCCGGTGAGCCCGGTACCTAATTGGGCTGGTAGGGAAACCGCATGAATACCACTAAATTGTGGAAAGCGTGGTTGAGAAGCTAAGAACGCTTGAACTTTTCTTGTCTTGGCTACCTATGAAGGGGGCTCGAGGTTCGACACCCGACGACCAGAGTTGTGTCTACTGAGTGCCTAAAGGCAGAACGGAAAACCTTCTCACAGATACCCCCTCCCTCCACTGGTCCACAAATGAGATTGGGCCATAGCACTCTGAGCATGCTATAAGCGTGAAAGTAACTTTAAGGTCTAATACTAATCTAAAGCATTGTCGTAAATACACTACATCCGCAGGCCTATATAGTGCTTCTAGTAGACGTTATTTCCTTATAGATGCAAACGATAAACAAGAAACCTTTATTTCTTGTAGAGATCGATGTTAGTGTGAATATATTCAGATGAATCTTTAAAAGGAACAACAACAATCTTCCAAGTCCGATAATTGACATGTCCAGTCACAAGAATTCTTATTGGTTTGGTTGAGTTGTTGCATGATCTCGAG